GCGTGTGCGCTGGTTTCGGTGTCACGCTCTTGCCGTGCGGGATTGCAATTGGTGGTGGCAAAACTCATTGGCACTGTTAGTGACGCTGCTACAATGCTGCTTTGCAGCGGTGCAGCTGAAGGTTGCTAATTGCATAGCAACAGCTGCGAGAAGGGTGGTTGTACAGCATGATGCCATTTTCCGGCCATGTGGGATTGCAGCTGGAGGTTGGTAAACGTGCAGCGGCTGCGCGAAGAGCAGTGGTTGAGAGAGGGAGGTAGCCCAGGGCAGAAGCAGGGAGAAGAATAGACCACATACAGGGGCCGCTCAGAGAAGAAGAAGCCTAGAGAAGAGGTCTCTCACAAAAGAGGTGGCTCAGCGAAGACGCGGTTACTACTCATTCACTACTCATTGAGTGACTACTGGTTCACCCAGTCAGCCATTCATTCATGCATGCATGATTCATGCATTTTTGCATTCATGTATGCATTCATGTATGCATTATTATGCATTAATGTATGCGCATTTGCATTAATGTTTGCATTCATGCATGCATTCATGTTTGCATTCATGTTTGCATTCATGTACGTATGCATTATGCATGCATTCATGCATGCATTCATACATGCATTCATGTTTGCATTCATGTATGCATTCATGCATTCACGCGTTCATGCATTCATGCATTCATGCACTTACGCATTCATTCAATCATTCGTCCATTCATTCATTCATTCATTCATTCATTCATTTATCCATCCATCTAACCATTCAATCATTCAATCAGTCCTGCGTTGTTTTTGCTTGTCATTGGATGTCATTGGTTTTTGTTGCTGTGATTGCGCTGGCATCTCACAGACATTTTTTTTAATTCGTTGATGCACCTCACAACCTCAATCTTTCATTGCTTCTGCATGTCATAGGTCATAGATGTTCCTATAGGCCAGTGATATCTTATATATAATAGTCATGTTTTTTTCGAAACTTCTTCCCCGGCACGCACGGCACGGCTGGGCACTATTGCTATGATACGTAGCTGTGGTTTGGATCTATTTAATTGCCTGCGGTAAGCCCGCCGGCCATAGAAAGGTGGCCCCAAGGGGGGGGTTGATGTGCATTCTAGGTGGAAGCCCGCGAGAGAGCAGAAGAGAAAAGAAGGAGAAGAAGAAGAAGAAGAAAATAAGACGAAGACAAAGCCTTAAAACGGAAGCGACTTGTGTAGCAAGGTTTGGTGTAACAACCTATTGACCGTATACCAAATGAGTACCGCCCCCAGAAAAGTGGGCCAGATACTATGTATGAGCCTTTGGTACTGGTCGATCAGTAACGAGTACCTGTAGACGACGGTAACGCTGTAGGCGATGTCATTAGCTACAGGCACTACCGGTGTAGTATTTGGGGAAGAAGGTAGGAAGGAGTAGAGGAGTAGAGGAGTAGAGGAGTAGAGGAGTAGAGGAGTCGGAGTAGGCGTCGGAGTACAAACAGCAGTAGGAGTGGGAGTGGTAGTAGTAGCAGTAGTAGTATTAGTACTATAGACATACTAGTAGTACTCGTAGACCTGCTAGTAGTACTGCTAGTAGCAGTAGTAGTAGTAGTAGTAGCAGCAGCAGTAGTAGTAGTAGTTGTTGTTGTTGTAGTAGTTGTTGTAGTTGTAGTTGTGGTAGTAGTAGTTGTTGTAGTCGTAGGAGTAGTAGGAGTAGTAGGAGTAGTAGGAGTAGTAGGAGTAGTAGGAGTAGTAGGAGTAGTAGGAGTAGTAGGAGTGGTAGGAGTGGTAGGAGTGGTAGGAGTGGTAGAAGTGGTAGGAGTGGTAGGAGTGGTAGGAGTGGTAGGAGTAGTAGTAGTAGTAGTAGGAGTAGTAGTAGTAGTAGTAGTGGTAGTGGTAGTACTAGTAGTACTAGTAGTACTAGTAGTACTAGTAGTACTAGTAGTACTAGTAGTACTAGTAGTACTAGTAGTACTAGTAGTACTAGTAGCACTTGTAGCACTTGTAGCACTTGTAGCACTTGTAGCACTTGTAGCACTTGTAGCACTTGTAGCACTTGTAGCACTAGTTGTAGTACTAGTTGTAGTACTAGTTTTAGTACTAGTTTTAGTACTAGTTTTTGTACTAGTTTTAGTATTAGTTTTAGTACTAGTTTTAGTACTAGTTTTAGTACTAGTTTTAGTACTAGTAATACTAGTAATACTAGTAACACTAGTAATACTTGTAACACTAGTAATACTTGTAATACTAGTAATACTAGTAATACTAGTAATACTAGTAATACTAGTACTAGTACCTTGGAGGCGTGGGAGGGGGGATGACCTTGATTCAGACGAAGCAAAAACGCGCAGCAAGAGAACAAAGGAACAAGCACAAGCCAAGAACAGAAACAAGAACAACACCTTCCAATCAGACACGCCGGCAGGCCGGCGGATTGTTGGACAGATTTGGACCGTTGGTATTGTTTCTCGACAAGCATGTGAAAGCTGAGCCTGGCCATGGTGATTGAACCAGTTATGCTGAGGGCAGCCTTGGCCGGCTACGCAGACAAGTCTACGAGCAGTGGTTCAAGGCAAAACGATTTTCACATGTTTCTCAGAGGGCACCATGCTTACAGACTTGTTTCTTTCATGAAGACACAGGGTGCTGCACCGTGATGGACCTGAGCATACGTCCGGAAACCTGAAGAACCCCCGATCATACTGTGGACCGGGCAACTCAGCCTCAAGTCTAAAGCACTTCAGGCGTTTGCAATTTATGTGTTGGGGGAATTTCCCAATGGCATCATGCGCACCACGAGCACGGTACTAAAATTCATCAATCTCCCCTTTGATTGTTGGTGAATGTGTAAGAATGAACAACAAACAAAGTTGGGTTTGTCGCGCGCGATTCTGCAGTTGAGTTCCGTACAGCAAGGAGCAATGTTGCCATCATAAATGAGAAATGTCAAGCGTTTAACCAAACCTGCACATTTCGCTAAGGTCAAATATGGATGATGCTGAGGCACAGATGCTTCGCTGTGAAAGATCTGTGAAGGTCTTGGGTTGGTTCACACAGGGTTCCTTTGGACTCGTTCAAACTGCTCGAACACCCAAGTGGTCCTTCCCCTCGGCCTCGCCGCAAGATTTCTGTTGGAAAGGTTGGATGTTGGAAAGTATAATCCGGCGTAGCTCTGTTTCACAGATGTGTAACATTAAAATACATTAAAGTGATTTTAGGATGTCTTATGTATATAATAACAATTAATAACATTAATTATAACACATTATATAACATATTGTAACCCTTTGCTTTGGCACAGTTTCCCCACAACATCAGAGAAGTCGCTCATCCTAAAATTCTTGCAGGGTGTCCTTTGTGTCAACTCCTTGGTGCCTACTCGTGCACCGGACCTGCCTGGCACGGCTGCTGGTCCTTCGTGGGAGCCTCGGCTGTGTTGCCATTTTGTGATATTTTGTGATTGGGTTTAGCACGGTTTAGCTTAGTCCCATTTAGTCCCCGTGTGTGTGGACTGCTCAGGTCGGAGCGACAAAAACCGTCGCCAACACGTGCAGGGACCCCAGCATGCCCTCGCTGGATCTAGCTGGCCTATTCCTGCGATGCAAATAGATCAGAGAGAATCGATTCAATTTCTTGAATCCTAAGATAGTTCCAAACAAAGACTTACTGTAATTATAAAGCATACGCAGCATATAGTACAACAGTTTAGCGTTTGTTGTCCTGCAGGTGTTACTACTGAATGATGTGCATGGTTTCGACAAGATTTGAGTGTGTTTGACCATTTACAATCAATTCCGCCATGATCGAATGCTGTCAAAGCTCATTGAGGGCCTGAGACTCGGAATATGTTTGAACTGACTGCTTCCAAGGCTGGGGAAAATTTGAAGGCGTGGTACCGGCGTACACCTGGATTTCCAACTCTCCCCACCATCTCCCCACCAAAGCCCATTTTTCTTCCTCTAAGTAATTTGTTATATTTGTTGAGATTCATGTGGACAGTTCATCTCAAGTCTAGCGACACCTGACTGCCAGTACTGCCCCCCAGTAAGTGGCAAACAGCCTTTTGGTTTTTGGGATGCTCCCTGTCCGTTTGCTCCATTGAGATCCATTGAGACATGGCTTCAGGATGGTTCACTGCATATTGAAAAATTAACCAAAATTCGCCGCATGAGCAAGATAACACCAACTCTACTAAGATCTCTAAGCAGTGCAGGGGGAGCCCAGCCTGAAGTCATTGAAGGACGCAAGGGCAGACCAAGGGCCACCACAGGGGGCCACCGGGGAAGTGTCCGTGAGTACCAGCGGTCATATGCGTCGTCAATGCTGTCATTCTTGTTGTTGCGCCCGTTGTTGCTATCGTTGTCCTTGTACTGTAGTTGTTTTGTCCTAGTATAGCATATTGGAGCTGTTGTTGTCATTGTCGTCACTGCGATTTTTTTTTTGCAGATATTGCTTTCCTTTTTTTGGGCAGAGTATGCCAAAGATGTTGGGAAAGGTCAGCCAAATGCTGTCAAACCAGAGGATGGGCCGCACAATGTCACAGCTTGATGTTGGCCATGTTGGCCTTGCAAGGACACCCTTTGCAAGCTGGAGGAGGACAAGGACGCGTCGTGAACCAAAGGAATGAATGACGGACATGAAGAGGTGAAGAATCGTTTCTGAGCTCAGCAACAGCTAGTCTAGAGATCTAGTCACAAGAGACCCTTTACATTTTCGTACTGGATTTTGACTGGAGCATGTCTCCATGTTTCCATTGCTGGCTTGCTGGCATAGGCCTGCCATCCTTCAAGACGCCTCAGCCCTTTGGCTCATTGCTTGATGAATGCCAGTTTGGAAGAGCTTTAGCAACGCAATTGCCAGAGAGGTTGCCTGCTACGACAGCAGGGTTTTTGTTCATGTCAACACCTCAGCCTGGACTAGAAGAATATAAGTATTCTCTTCAATGCAAGCGCCAGAAGTTTGAAGGTTCACCCAAACAGAGAGAGAGAGAGAGACCTTCAAGACTCAACGTTTCTTATTTCAGATCCAAAGGGCTGAGTCACCTTAGCCACGTCGTGTCGAGCTCCGCGATGCTTCGCCTTGAGCTTCAAGCTGTACCACACAGTCGGCCTGGCAGGTGCTCACTTCGCCAGATCCGCAGCCAGGGACCTTGTCGATCTTGTCGCCACCTGCCTGGCGTGAAAGCTGTGGGAGCCGTGGGCCTCGTTGCCGTGGCCAGGGCAACCTGCCGTGTCGCTCGTGCTGCGCGCAAGGAGTACAAGGAATCATGGCGGAGAAGGAAGAATTCGCCGCTCATCATGTGTTATGTGGCTGTTGGCATTGTTTATGCTGTGTATGTTTATGTTATGTTTATTCATGTTTACCGGTAGGTGAAGTTTAGTGTATACTCTCATGCTATTTTGAACTGCTGGCTCGGCTGGCTCGTGACTATGCTCTCACACACTCCGTGAAGCATGATTATCGCAACTATTCAAAACTTTAAAACGTTGGTTTTACTTCTCCTCCCTCTTGTATAGAGTCCGGAGGATATATTTATTCAAGGTATGGGTGCCATGATGGAAAGAAGGAAAAGAACGATTATACAAATTATATATATATATCCATGTAATTCCATGTATATCCATATTGGGGGATGGTCATCAATCCATTAATAGGTGTTTATTCGTAGACGCAGTCATTAAGGATTCCCATTATGGGATGGATGACCCTTCGACCACAGGCAACTCTACAGAGAACTGGAGGAAGGCATGGAGAGCGCACAGCCAAGACGACGCAAGCCAGAGGTTCGCTCAAACTGACTGCATTCTTGGATAAGACTTGAGAAGACATGATAGGCATATATAATATTATATAATCATATAAAGGCATCCTCAACAAGCCCATCCTCAACATTTCGAAGAAACATGAACAAACATGAACAAACTGGATAGGTCCGGGGCGAATCGGAAGATGTTGAACATGGTTGAATTCTCCTCTCAAGGTGTTGGCTCCAGCCGGTGGCTGGCCACAGCTTCGCGCTGCCGTTCGGGCAGGGGCAGATGCGGTTTACTTTGGTTTGGATGTTGGGCTGAATGCAAGGGCCCGTGCAGCGAACTTTACTACCGAAGAACTGCCAGAGGTCATGAAGTTCTTGCACAGCCATGGCGTGACTTGGCGTCGAAGGATGTTTAGAACGACATAACAAGGATCCAGGAGTCCAGTGCCTAGAGGATTTCTGGCTCTTTTAAGCCATTGGCATCCTTGGCCCTTTGACAAATTGCAATATAGATAACATAGATAACATAGATAACATAGATAACATAGATAACATAGATAATATAGATAATATAGATAATATAGATAATATAGATAATATAGATAATATAGATAATATAGATAATATAGTCACATGATGTCACATGCGTTCGCCTCGCCACTTGAGGTGAAGGCTTACGTGACTCTGAATACTTTGGTCTTTGACCATGAGCTCTTCGACAGCAGCGACATGCGAGCTGGAAGTGGTTCAGCCATTGATGCTCTGCGAGTGGTCTCTGAAGCCAAGGTTGATGCATTGATTGTCCAAGACATTGGCTTAGCTTTGGCATCTAGGGCTTGATTATTGCGATCTCAAACCATTGAAAGATTCACCATAGATGTTTGATGATGCTTGATTCCTTGATGATAGTTACTCATGGTTGATGATGTTTGACGATGTTTGCCTCTGTTTGATGGCCACATATGGCCACACTTTTACAATGCAACGTCCCTCATGCCAAATCATGTTGTTCCATGTAATGTTCTTCCACAACCCACATGGGTTTCTCTATGTATGTAGCTTGTTCTTATCATCGTACAAGTACAATGAGTCATACAAAGTAAGGAAAGGGCTGAATTCTGAAAGAAACTGGAGAAAACAAAAAGACCTGATGCAGGAGTAGTGGCTATTCTTGGAGCTATCGGCTTCCGAGGTATGTCGTGAGTTGTGCCCCCAAATCTCTGTTCATGCTTCGACGCAGATGTCAATCACATCAGCACCTGGTGCGTTGCAGCCTGTTGGCACTAGGAAAGGGTGATGGGCGGGGTATCAACCTAGGCTTGTCACTGGTTTGTCGAATGTGGCAGACGTTAATCTCCAAGTTTGATATGGTTTACCGTTTTTGACCATGGCCAGTGTTGTTTGGACTAGTTGACTGGTTGTGTGTTCTTCCTCCTTAATGCGAACAAGTTCGCATTTGGCGTTTTTGTCAACCAGCCGTTTGGAGTGAAGTATAAAATCCATACGACCATACGCATACCATGGGTGTGTGTGTGTGTGGGTGTGTATTGTGTATTCTGTATTGTTGTGTATTCTGTATTGATGTGTATTGTGTATTGTGTGCGTATGCATAACTATTATAATTATATCATGATGAGTACCCATGTGCATATATATATAATATACACGTGTGTGTGTGTGTGCATCTCTTTGCGTATGTAATGTAATATCATTTCCGTGTGTATGATGCAACGTAATGTGATGTAATAATGTAATGTAGTTTTATTTCATGTCATGTCATGATATATCATGTCATGCATCGATGTGTTTGTGTCTGAACGAATATAGCGAATAAACTGCGACCTACTGATCTTTTGCAAGCCCCGACGTCCTCCTTCACGTTACTGCTGAGACACGAAGGTTCGCGGAGCGTTTGGGCGCTGATCGTGTAGTCCTTGGTCGCGAGTTGAGCATCAAAGAAATTGCATCAGTTGCAGCAGACGTGGGGGATTTGGAGGTTGAGGCGGGAATGGTTGTTCTTGCTGTCTTCTCACTTGTCAAAGTTATCTAAAGCCGTTCATGCTTAGCTTGATATAGCACAAGTGCCATATTGTTGTGCAAGCCATGGCGCTCAAGAGGGATTTGAGTAAAAAGTGTGAGGGAAAAGCCTATTGTTAGGTTGAAGTTCAGAGATTGCATACGCGATCATGCACTTCCTAGATCAGGTTGTTGAGCCAATAGAATACTATGTGCCCAGAACTGCACATGCGATCACATGCGTGCATAGCAAACACAGCTACATATTGTTTTCTTATGTTTTCTTCAGCGCTTTGGAGGCATCATTGCCCTTTGTTATTGGTGTCATTCGGTGTTTCTTTGCTGCGAAACTCGCCAGGTCTTTGTGCATGGTGCCCTGTGCGTTTCCTACAGCGGCCAGTGCTTCTCCTCTGAAGCCTGGGGTGGCCGCTCCGCAAACCGTGGGCAATGTGCGCAAGCGTGTCGATTGCCATATGGTTTGGTTGCCCGACTGCAACACACACGAGAAATCACGAGAACCGTGGAGACATGTGGAGACTGTTGCAGCTGCATTATAGCTTGATGTGACATTAAGGGCTCTGAACGAAACTGTTGCAATGTCAAGTGCCGTCAGTGTTTGGGAAAGTCATTGGCATGATGTCATGTGATACGAATGTTGGCTGCCAAAGACGTTTCTTGTTGCCTCTCAAGACCAGGAGCTGTTTGTAGGACCTTTTGCTTTTTCATACAAGGTGAAGGATGGAGAATTGATCGATTTGGGCTGCTTGTCATATCATAACAACCTTTGCACAGGATGGTTCAGGGCGGGAATGAATTGAATGGTGGTGCTGCCATGCTCATTCTTTGTAGCGTTTGATGCCACGAGGAGAATGCTACAACCCCGTCAGAGTGGAGTTGAGATTGGTTGTGTGTGTGTGTCATGAAAGACGATGCGCAAACGGCGCAAACACTAATATTCTATTTACAAGATTTTACAAGCTGCCGGCGAATTCCATTCAATTTACAAGCTTGCCGAGTAGATACTGAATATACTGAATCAACCAAACAGAATATCAATGATTTTTTAGATCTCAGACTATCTCGTCTTAGTACGGCTTGAATTTGGAGTGGAGCTTGCAATGTCAAAATCTGAGCTCTTGGAGCCAATGTCCAAGCGAATTGAATGCCGAAATCGATATCACTGATGCATATTGATATATGGGTATGGGTCAATACCTATAGATACATTTTTAGTGGGATGAACATCCATTTACCAGCTATTTTGGGGTTCACTAGGTACCAGGGTTTTGACCCATCCCCATATGATATGTGCAAAGTATTATAGATATGATATAGTTAGAATAGGGCTTGCCCATCTTCCAAAGCCTGAACCCCAAACCTCACAACCCCCAACATACACAACATCTCACAAAAATTTCATCAAAACTAACCACATACACCCAACCAAAAACCAATCAGAACAATCAACCATAAACTCAAATCCAAAAAGAACTCCAATTTTTCAACAAGACAAGTCTTGTTGAAAAATTGCCCGCCTAAATTTATATAAACAATAATAATCAAACAATACACCATAAACCAAAACAAAAACTCACCACAAACAACATCACAAAAAATTCTAACAGCATAACCTTGCCCACTATATATCATCCCAAAAAAATATGTTATAATTTCTGTGGTATTTTGTCGGGCAAGGTTATGTTGATAGAAAAAAATATTCTTATTAGAATGTCTTAAACCATATGTATAAAATGATGATTATATATTATCATTCATAATATTTTTTAAATACTTTTTAACAGAAATATTATTAATAAATCCCTTTAACCCACCTCCCCATTGCACCCCCCTGTCAGCAGAAGAAGGAGCGCATCAAGCAGAGTGATGGTCTGAAGCCTCTGATTTTATTTTATATAAATATTAATGTATATATTATATTTTTATACTTAATATTTTCCACAACTACTATTACATCTCTTACAATATGGCATTATATTATCCAGTGTATGAGTGTAATCATTATTTACTCTTTGAGCGGTTAGATTTGTTGTTATATTTCCATTTTTTATAGCGCTATGAAACCCACATCCACAGTAATTACATTGGTTAGTTATATTATCAAAAAAAACATTTAGCATTTACATAGCCTTCTTTTGGTATTTTTCTTTTTGCTTTCCTGTCCTGTTGCTTGTAATTTTCAATCTTTCTTTCATAAAAACTGTTCATACATTTGTAGTTGAATTCATCATTTACATCATCACTATATTTATAAAACTTTACCTTGTTTAAATCTCTGGCTCTTGTAATTGCTGTCCATAACCACTCCCTATAATTTCTAATGTCAAAATGGTTATAGTCAAATATGGTTATAATATCTCCATCTATGCTACTACCTTGGGCTGAATGGCAGGTAGTGCAATGGGCGAAAATGAAATTATCCCTTACCTTTTGAATTTTCAAGGATTGTAGTATATTAGTTTTAGTATTTTTCAATGTCATTACTCCATCCTTTCCAATGTGGACTATCTTATATTTAAAATTTACATTAAATACTGATGTAGGGGTTTTAGTATATTCTCTACATATTAAGAATTAGGCAACAGATGTTGCGACAGTGTGTGTTTGTTGGAAAATGACCTTGAGATGAACAGGGACTGTTCTTGCAAACACTGCGTAAATGTTCAAACAAAACCGACATGATGCCCGACAAATTACTACAGAAATTACAACATAATTTTTTGGGATGATATATAGTGGGCAAGGTTAGGCTGGTAGAATTTTTTGTGATGTTGTTTGTGGTGAGTTTTTGTTTTGGTTTATGGATAATTGTTTGGTGATTATTGTTTATGTAGATTTAGGCGGGCATTTTTTCAACAAGACAAGTCTCGTTGAAAAATTGGAATTGTTTTTGCATTTGGGTTTATGGTTGATTGTTCTGATTGGTTTTGGGTTGGGGTTTATGTATATAGTTAGTTGTTATGAAATGTTTTTGCTGGGGTGTATGTGGTTAGTTTTGATGATTTTTTTTGCTGGGGTGTATGTGGTTAGTTTTGATGAAATTTTTGTGAGATGTTGTGTATGTTGGGGGTTGTGAGGTTTGGGGTTCAGGGTTTGGAAGATGGGCAAGGCCTATTCTAACTGATATTATATTATTATATTATATATTATCTTATATTATATTATATATGTGTGTGTGTTTTTATTTGTTTGAAACATATGTGTAAATTAATAATAATATAATATGTATATGCATATGCATATATATATATATACGCGTGCGTGTGTGTGTGTGTGCGCATGCATATACCAAATATGTATATATATATACATACATATGTGTGTTTGTGCATTTATGTGTGTGTGTGCGCGCAAAATACATATATGTATATATATATATAGTAAAGATAGATGATTTGTTTGCTTACTAATTGATTCTACAGTGTTACATATATCATATCATCAGATATCATCATATGTAATCATATGTATAGATGCCAAATGCATGTGTGTTTTACCATGTTTTACTAGTCAAAAGCACGTACGATTCAGGTGATGCAGTGCGCTACTTGCTGTCCCCACAGGACCTCATGGCCTTGGAAGCTGGGTTTGAGCTACACAAAGGTGGAGCCGAAAGAAAGTTAGCGCGTCATGAAGATCAAAATCAATCAGCGTATAAAGAGGGATCATCAATATGTTAATGTCCAATTCCAGTGGTGGTCACTTCCATGTTTATTTCCGGAGAGAGAGGAAAAAACTCTGGGTGATGTTGATCATGACCTTGCCAGCCAAGGACTACGTGCCAGCCTTGATCGATGCGGGCGTTGGTTGCTTCAAGATTGAGGGGCGGCTCAAGGGTGAGGAGAGCAACCAATTCACGAGAGTCAAAGTGTGTTGGATAGCTCCAAGTACACAATGTGAAGTTTTCCAATGCCAAGGTACTGGCAAGTCAGCCCGCAAGCGCGTGCTTGAAGTTTGGGCCGAACAATTTCAGGTTTCACCATTTTCTCAAGTTTCCCAACTTGGGAAGCTGTAGCTTCAGCATCACACCGTTTCGCAGTCTTCTCCCAGGAGTACGTGGCCTTGACAACAGCCGCATACCGCCAAGCCATAGATCAAGCCTGGGATGCCACAGCCACAGCATGGGAGGAGACACCCGCAGCACAGCTGTTGGCAGAGCCACAGACTGCCCGCACTGCGCTGGCGCAGCTCTTCGCACGAGGGCAGGACTTCACTGGGCTTCAAAGGTTGGACTTTTTTCGACTGAATTGGCCTAGGCGGTATATATATATATACATATCATGATTCTGTGCTTAGGGGTTAGGCGTGTGGAGCTAGATACGCAGGGATTTGAGTTGCTGTATCATTTGGGCAAGTTCAGAATTGGTAACAACAATCTATTATATCATTCCAGGAATTGTTCTCGTCGTCGTGTGTTGACTTTAGATTGGTCCAGCATCCCACGCAGTATTCAAAGGACGAAGAGCACGATGGACTTTCGCCTGGATTCTTGGAAGGCCAGTTTTGGATTTGGCAAAGTGTTTTGGATCATGTTGGATCTGTCGGTAGACATGGACGGGTCAAAACCTATGATTTATCGTCTCAGCGGGAGGAACATCATTGAACATCTGAATTTAAATCCGCTTGCCAGCTAGTCTGCTGATCACCAGGTGCCACGGTTATGGTCCATGGTTGATGCGACAAAATCCACGGAAAGCATCTAGAAGGGGTACTGCCGCTGATAGGTCCCCAGCACCAACGGCTTGTTCGTGGCATTGCACCAAAGCATCGGGGTGTTTTGGTGGGCACCGTGTGTGCAGTGCAGAGTGCCACGGCATCCTTTGCATTGAAGCTGGCTCCTGGTGCTGTCAACGTGCCCTTGCGACCAGGCACAGGAGGTTGCGGAGGAGAGGTAGCAAAGTACTTGCTCAAATACTGCGTGCTTCTAGACTTCCGGAAAATTTGTGTTTTGCTGCACAATATGTATGTAATTGAATGTAATTGATTTTACTTGTACATAATCATCACTATAATGTATATATATATGTGATATTGTATGTTTATATGTGGATACGTTTGCTCCAAAGCAGCTTCCATCAGCTATATGCGTTTATCGTTTCTTTTTTTGGCCTGTTCGCAGGCGCTGGCATTTTCTTCGATCAAAATGTTGGGCTCGGAGAAGATGCTGATGTTCTAGGAGACGTGAGCACAGGAAAATGATGAAACGCCTAGAGTTACTCAGGTTACTTACTGGACTGGTGGCCTGGGTAAAGCAACATGAAGATGTATGAAGCAGGGAAAAACCTCCACCCATTTTTCACAGGAGGAAAAGTCGCAAAACTTCGGAAATCTGGCGCGGGTGGTGTGCTTGCTTCGAGCGCTGAGCTTCAAAGCGGCGACATGCTTTTGGTTCGTTTGGACACCTTCCCTTTGCTTCAAGAAATGTTGCATTGCTTGGAAGGGATTTGCCCCACATTGGAAAACCAGCCACTGAATTGAATGGGAGATCATGCGGCAATCCCGCCAGCATCCGCCAGCACTTTCTGGGCGTCCCATGGTTTCCTCTTGTCGCGACGCTACATGCTGCTAGAGTCTAGGGTTGTATTGAAAGATATTTGAAAGATATTGAAAGGTCACGCCAAGCAGCATTTGGCATTGCACCCTCTAAACTATTGGGAACCTGTGCAGCCTGTGCCACAATAAATCCCATGAGTGTCCCACTCCAAGGATTTCGGAGGGAAGGAGCGGAGTCGACGCATGGAAGAGGTGAAAGTAGGAGATTTGGTGTGGAGAAGCTCGATCGAGAAAAAATCACCATGACCTCCTACGATGCCTATGCCTACCATGTTACTTGATAAATGTTGCACAAAACCGAACAGCCAAATCCAGTATTGAAAACAGCCTTGAAACATGTGCAACAGGGATTATATACAGTTTGAATCATTTTGAATGGCCTCACCTTAGAACAGGATAAGAGATACAACAGAAGCATGGCTTCAAGTGTCACAAGAATTAAAAAGCCAATGCAGGTAAAAGATATTAAAAGAATATAAAAGATCCTAAAGATCATAAAAGCAAGAAACATGAGGCACCTTCGCCAAGGAAACAAAGACGAGATGCTTGAAGAGCAGGTCAAAGAGCTCTCATTGGTGAACCAGTTCATCTTCGAGCAACATGGCCATTCTGTAAAGCGGAGCGTCTCGTTTCCAAGATGTTCCAACTTCCAAGCCTCATCCGAACCACAAGCCCAATGGGAACAGATTGGAGAAAGCATTTGTCATCAAAGATCATTCCCTTGATCTGTTAAAATAAGCACTGGAATCGTCGATATGTTCCATATGTATGCAATAGTTACAGTATACATATACAAATATATCAATATGTAATAATATATTAGAGATGGCTCATGACATGTTATGATCAGTTCATGTTTCATCATTCTTCCTGGTATGTTCACCTCATTTTTCCATATCCTCAAGGCATCTGCCAGAGCCGGAAGCCGAACGCTTCGAGGAGCTGCAGCCGGGCCATCCTGCCACCATGGCACGGCTGCAGCGCCTCGTTGGCAGCGCCGGCAACACGTTGGGCCAGGTGCTGCCAGCGACGCTCCCGCGGCTCACGGTGCTGTGCCGCACCGCGCAGCAGGCGGAGGCCGTGTTGCGGCTGCCACCAGGCCATGCCAGGGCCATTGGGGCCATGCCAGGGCAGTGGGATGGACGGGAAAATATTGAATTGCCCATAATTGCCCCAAAAACACATTGAGAAAATATAGAAAAGATATAGAAAAGCAATAAAAAGACATTGAGAAAGCGTTGTGACGTTGTGCAGATTCGCGGGGAATGTTACTTGGGCAATGGTTTTGGAAAGCTTTTCTGACCGTGGCTTGCTGGGCCTGTTTGTCCTTGTACTTGTCGCGACAATGAATGTCAATGAATGTCAATGACATCTTTTGTTGGACCAGCTTGTGCCAAAATGATTGTCGAAAGGTCAGCCGGTGATGCTCAAGAGTTTCTGAGAAGCCCAACGATGACCACAATCCACACTCCAAACATGTTCAGGTTGAATAAAATCATTGAAAGACAAGAACGCAAATGATTTGTTACAGCCAAAATCCTTCCAATGCCCCTCAATTGTTGAAAGTTTTGATGCTTTTTGATCATCCAAAGGCATCCAATCTGTCAGGCATGGTCTATGAACTCCAACTGGATTTCCTCGAAGCCCAGGGCCTCCATGAGTCAGTGCAAAGGGCACGAGCAGCCCAGCAGCGTGTGGCCGTGTGCCTCCCAAGAATTTTGAAGCCCAACGAGGTGCAAACATGTGCAAACTACACCAAACATCATCAAACTACTGCACATGTTCCACTGACGGCCGATCCATGGTTTCTGTTTCAAGGGGCTTGGAGTGGTCTCCGAGTGGTCCATGATGAGACTGGCACAAGTGATTTTTTTCTGCAGGACCGCTTGTGGCAATTCTATCAGCGCCTGGAAGCGGATGTTGCTTGCACCAGAAAACTTATCCTGTTTACATTACACTCGGTGTGTGTGTGTGTTCAATATGTTTCAACCTGTTTTAACAGTTCATTTGTTTACCTTCCCTGAGGCAAAAGCAACATAGCAACATAGCAAAAACTCCAGCATTCAGAGCTGAAGGAGAGGTCACCAATTCGTACTAATTCCATAGGATGACATTGGCCCAAGATGGCCCAAGCCACCCGCAGCAGTAGCCACAGCCCCCAAGGTTTCCAGGGCCAGTGCAGGATGTGAAGTATGTTGTAGAACTTGGCCCTTGTTTTGATCTTGGATCTGTAACTTTGATCCTGAAAAATCCCGAAAATGGTTTCAGATGGTTTCAGATGGTTTCGGCGGCAAGCGATCAGACGGTTTGGTACTCAATTCTTTTTGGTCATCAAAATGGTTGTCCCTTTGGTGCCATATGTTTGTTAACAATGTTTAACATATTTACCCTCTAGTTATTTAACATAGCCATGGAAAATGGCCCATAGAAATAGATGGTTTACCTAGCTATAAAATGGGGATTTTCATGGATTTTCCATGGCTATGTTAAATAACCAGAGGGTAACAGATTTAAATTACGCTAGGCTATGGCTGCAACGGCTGTATCCATATCCAAGGCCATGTTGGTCCGCAGTTGTGGCGCCCTGAACCAGCTGCTGAGCAGCGAGAGCAAGACGGATGCAGAACTCATTGGGGACTTCAGCCTCAATGCCGCCAACGTGGTTTGCCATGAAGATGATCAACTTTTATTCATATATATATATATATAATGTATATATATATATATGATTTTTTTTATTCATTTATTTATTTATTCATATGTTATATTTATTTATAAATATATATATATATATACATATATATATATATGTGTGTGTGTGCTAATCCGCTGCTCCCATCATGTCCCCATCCACCCATTTCTCGTGAGGTGGAAGGGATATTCGGAGGCGTATGGGTCTGTGTACTATGATAGTTGGCGTGCTGTTGTTTGTGTTACCATGCGCGAGTGCTGCAAACAAATCTCAGTTTGCAGACTTCTGACCGCTAGGCAGTCACCGCCGCCTTTTTTCTGGGCGTTGGATTGGATCGACTGACGCCGAGCCACGATTTGAGTGCTCAGCAGATTTGCCAATTGGCAAAGAGACTGGGACCAGAGCGGGCCGCAAAGTTGGAGGTGCCGCGTGCAGACTGGGCCTGTCGTAAGTCGTAAGTGTGGACGATTAAGACACAAAAAAACAAGGGTGGTGGGCTGTGCTTTGTGAGCTGGTGGGTTTGTTTGGTGCTGCACTTTGCTTCGTTCATGTCATATTGTAAGTCCCTTCAAACCAGACCCTTCGCATTGAGGTGGTTGCGCACCAGCACCTGCCCATTTTTCACACAGAGCACTGCGTGTTCTGTCGCTTCCTGAGCAATGGCAACGACTACACAGACCCCATCCTGTGCATTAACAGCTTTGTTTCACCAACACCTTGATTTTCTGACCAGTGAGAAGTGAAAGGGAATGCGGACAACATCGGGCAGCTGACCTTGAAGCAGTCTTTGGATGTCTTTGATATGTGTAATCGTCAAGTCAAAAGGATCAGACGATGTATGCTACTTATATTGTTCATCAAGTGATAGGGAATCGTTGGTGCTCCGTCACTGTTGGGTCATTTGTGAATTCAGGATTGTGGGCACCCATGTGAGCGCCACAACTTGCACTTGAGGGATTCAAATGGAAAGGACCACAAGGCTCGAGGGGCATCACTTCACTCCCAAAGTGTGTAACAGATCTACTGACAGCAGGCTTCAGATTTTGACATGGGTTACTTAGCTCCGCCACAGTCGAATTAGTTGTTTAATGATGTTTCATGATGTTTTAATGATTCTGCTGACTCGCTTCCGTGAGAGTAGGCTCCTGTCAGGTGGTGGCTGACATGGGCTGCCGCAACACCGTCTTCAACGCCAAAGCTCAGTCTGCAGCCATGGACCTGGCAGCCTTTGCCTCAGCACAGGCGGGGCCAGTTGTGCTATCAAGGTGAAGCCACCTGCCCGTGTTTCCGTAGTTCCTTTAGTGTACCATTCAGGGAGTTGTGAATATGTGTGAGTTCTTAATGGTTTGACTCAGTTCAATATATTGGAACACAATATATGCCATATAGTGTTACACTACAATATATATATATATTTATCAGGTTCTGTTTGTTTGCTGCGCCAGGTGGGATTCTTCCGCCTGGAGCTGGTGGATGAAGTGCCGGAAGCCGTGGAGACCTTGGTGCGGCGCTACCACTCAGCTGCTTCGGGACGCCTTCCTGCAGAGAAGTTGGGAAGCCCAACACAACATTTTATATAATATAATATAATATAATATGATATAATATAATATAATATAATATAATATGATATAATATAATATAATATAATAATATAATATAATAATATAATATAATAATATAATATAATAGAATAATATAATATAATATAATATAATAATATAATATAATATAATAATATAATAGAATAGAATAATATAATATAATATAATAATATAATATAATATAATATAACATAATTATATAATATAATATAATATAATGTAATGTAATGTAATAATATAATAATATAATAATATAATATAATATAACATAATATAATATAATATAATAATATAATATAACATAATATGATATAACATAATATAATATAATAATATAATATAATAATATAATATAATATATAATATAATATAATATAATAATATAATATAGTATAATATAATATAGTATAATATAATATAGTATAATATAATATAGTATAATATAATATAATATAGTATAATATAATATAAACAAATAATATAATATAACATAATATAATATAATATAATGATATAATATAATATAATAATATAATATAATATAATAATATAATAATATAATAATATAATAATATAATATAATATAGTATAATATAGTATAGTATCATACAAAATAAGTTAAATTATATACAATGTAGATATATATATATACATATATAGAGATATACATTACTGGCCATGATTCATAAAACTGCATCAAGCTATCTATATCTATCTATCAAGCTGCACAGTCACTGAAACTCACTGGAAGTGACTGGAACCGTGAGAGCCTCATTATTTGACCAGGACCTGATACCTCCTGAGACAAGCCAAAGTCAATGGCTCTTTGAGGTTGTGGAGCTATGTGGCCAGCTTGAGTGACTCCAATGGTCGTCGCCAGGGCGTAGAGCGAGGCTCCCTAGACGATTCCACGTGGCGAGAACAAGACTTTCGGGAAATGAAGGTGGGCAGAGTGCTGCAGAGCGGGGCTTGGGCGGGGCTTTTGCGGCAGTTGATTGTAAAAATTATAGCTATGAAGACCGACTTTATACAATATAAGTGTGTATGTGTTTGATTGTTATTGCAATGGTTTGTGTTCATTGTTTATCTCTATGTAGTGTTAATGTGTGTTTATATGAACATTGTTGAATACGAGATGTACGAGGGAAGGGAAGTTATGATATAACTTATCCAATGTGGATTGTCGCACCCTTGTAATGAAAGAGTCCAGGGACTGACAAGCTTAGCAAGCGAGGCACGTAGTGATTTTGTGGCAGTGAAGCTAGCTTTGCAGACCTGGAACGGAAAGTAGATAGAAAGTCCGCTTTTCAGTTTGGGTATCTTCCTTCGGATTATCCACATGAGTCATGATGCCGATGTCAGCTGGACAGTAAGATTGCAGATTCCTTAGCCTTAGCAGAACTTCAGAATCCCCCAAGCTTGTCAGAGTCAGGTGACAGCAGCCTCACGAGCAAGTAGATAGTTGAGAGTGCTGACCATAGTCCTGGTACCCGTACTCTCCGAAAGCACTGCTGGTAGGTTCACATTTTGGATCATGACCAGCGCAGGAAATCGTAGAATGGGGCTCTTGTCAGTGAAAGTCATTCGTGGACCTTGCGCCGCACCAAGCAACTGGCTTGTTGTGCGAGACCCGGCAGACCGACACGTCGCCAGAAAAGGGAAAGCTGCTGGGAGGAACTCCCTAGAAAAGTACCAGAATGCCACTTATGCGGGGGCGTCAAAACCAATTGTACCATATACTGGTAGATCCATATATCATCATATATCATATTTTGTGGGATGAACATCCATCTACTATTATACTGTACCACAAAATTGGGTGTTCACCAGGGTTCCAGGGTTTTGACCCATTCGCCATTATTTTTCTGACACGGTGAGACGGTCAGCTCGAACCAAACGATGCCTTTTTCGTGCATCGTTTGCAGGAGAGATCTTTGAGTCACGCAGCGAAATGTAAAAAGACCTTTGTCAATAGCTCAGTGTCAGTGACGATGGACGCAGGTTGTTGACGAATGAATAGGCCTTACATGAAAAATGATTCGTGGTTGAGCAGTTTTTGTGTCTATCCCAGACTAGAGGCTGAGCATTCTTGAGATTCGATTGCAGGATCGAAACCGACAGCCAACAAGACTGAGGACCGCTTGGCGATGGTAAACGCATTCCAGCTGCTTGAGTGCCAAAAAAGTTTGGAACGTTTCAATTTTTTGCATGATGACACCGACTGCGGGAAGTCTACCAATGGCTTGATTAGTAATGATTAGAGTCATTTGAAGGATCAAGGATTGAACATCATTCAACCTGCCAAGGACCCCTGCTATGGCGGCACGGATAAAGGCCACCGCAAGCAGCGAGTCCAACATTGTTCCAGAAGAACTGGCCCAGGGGGAGCAGTTACCGGGCCTGTGCTGGAAGTTTTCTAAGTTGGTGGTATTTGGATGTATTTTTGGGAATCAAGTTAACAAGTAGAGTACGCCCCATTGAAGTAGAAATCGTATGAAATCGTTGGGGGATGAATTTCATCAAAGTGTTCTGAATTTTGAAGGTTGTTAGTTCTGGGGATCCATTGCGATATATTGCGATGGAACTGCGTTGGTTCCAAGGAATGCCCACACTGGAGCGAATGCAATTGCTGTGAGATCTGTGAGTGGTGCAAACGCTGCACCATCTGCTGAGAGGATAGACAGCATTGAGGTGGCGGGGGCTGCCACCGAACCCCAGGGGCAGTTTGTCACAGAGGGCAGGACGTTCCTGGGTTGGACGAGCACGCTTTATTATTTGTAGTTGAGTGCTAGTTATAGAAATTCAACTCCTTCGGAGTTTGGCCACCCGAATCTCTGCAACTCGCCGGGCACCAGGTAGATTGAGACTTACTCGGGACATTGTTTGGCTTTATCTATCCACAGGTAGTGATTGTTTGGCTTGGCTCTGTCTTGTTTTCTTTGGTTCCCACAAAGTCTATCATTGATTGTATTGATTCCTCCACACCAATGATCAATGGTTGCAGCCTTGTTGTCACTTGCATTCTGCATATTGTCAACTCGAAGTTGTGAGATGCTCTGAGGACTCTTTCCGATGACGGAAACGCACACGCTGGAGCGGATGCTCCTGCTGCTGCTGCTTCTTCATCTACTGCGAGTGCGCTTGTGGCACCCTTTGGTGAAGGTATAAAGAGCGTTGAGCTGGCTGGCACAACGTCCGAGGGGCAGTTCATCACAGCAGATGCAGATGGCAGGACGTTCCTGGCTTAGCTGAGCGCGATTTGTCATTTTGCAGGCCTGGAATCTGCCAATTCGTGTTGAAACGATTTGGAGATGCCCAAACTCAATGAGCAAACTGAGGTCTCCCAGTTCCACTCCACAAGGGCCGCCATCTCATGGCGAGACCAGCCTCGGGAATTCTGGAGCTGCGAGCCAACCTGCTGGGCCTAGTGGCACGCAGCAAGCCAGTTCCTTGTCTACATGACATAGCACTTGCAATAAACAATGCAGGTATGACTCCTGAACAGGTATGGAAGTTTATCAAGTTGTGCACATTAAGCTCCAACCTCAAGAGTTTGGATCGCTCTGAATGTCACCGATTGACATCGATTAACCACAGAGCCTAACTGATGCTACAAGCCACCCAGCACACATGCAGGGAATGAGTTTCATGAGTTTCTTTGTTTGTTGCCACACAGCAGTGTTTTCGCGGGTAAGAGTGGTACAATGAAATCGCAACGATGTCAAAGTGAGGCTCTCATTCTGGGAGGCATCGAGGCCAGGACAGTCGTAGAAGCCCACTGTAATGAGCTTCAGACGCTGAATGCCGATTTCTCGGCATGTGATGATTGCTGAAATACTTGAAAGGTTTGGTGGCCTTAATGGCAGTTGGAATGGAACCTAAAATCATTTGACAGGAGCAAAGAAATCATGAGACAACTGTGACGTAGAGAGTTGTTTTGTGCAAAAGGTCCTGTCTGGCTCAGGGGATGCCATGCAGTATGCAGATGGAGGGAGGAAGTATTTGCATTTTTGGCGCTTCGATCTCGAATGATTATGGTGTCCATTGTTCCCAGACGTCATAAGATGTGTTGCTGCACATCACTGCAAGTAAGACCTCAACTGCTAACGAGGAGCAACCTTTCGAATTTCAGGCAGGAAAGGTGAACGTCAGAATCATGGCTTGACATTGGTCATCAACATGGATCATTTTCCTAGGGATGCCATTTGCAGTAACTGCCATAAGCACCCCTACCAGGTGCTTATGAAATCAATCCATCTAAGTCATTCATAGTCATTCTTCGTCCGTCTAAGTCCCTGTTGTTGGAGGTAGTAATATTAGATCATATATATATATATGGGAGCCGTCCGTAAAAGCAGGTCACAAATTTATGAATTGATGCGTTTACTTTGCTTTGCGCGATTGCTAAAACCTGCATCGCGATAGGCTGAGCGATTGGTTGGCGATTGGTTATACGGCTACCACCCTATTACTACTACTACTACTACTACTACTACTAGTACTAGTACTACTACTACTACTACTCTACTACTACTACTACTACTACTACTGCTAGTACTACTACTACTACGACTACTACGACTACTACTACTACTACTAGTACTACTACTAGTACTAGTACGAGTACGACGACTACTACTACTACTACTTCTACTACTACTACTACTACTACTACTACGAGACCAGAACCATGCCAATAATTGACATGGCCGCGCGGATTCCGCGCGCGCGGAATCCGCGCAGATGTTTTCAGGTCAGAAGGACATTCAAGCTAGCTCCAATTGAAAACAGGTCAGAAACAGGTCAGAAACACCAAAAAGGCAGCACTTGCCTAGCATCCCATCCATCCATCCATCCATCCATCCATCCACCTCAGCTCTTATCATTGCTACTTCTACTATTACTATTACTACTATTACTACTTCAACTTCTACTCCTCCTCCTCCTCCTACTACTACTACTACTAGTAGCACTACTACTACTACTAGTAGCACTAGTACTAGTATTTGGGGCACTAGTAATGATATTACTTTGACGATCACTAAAATCTCGAAAGGTAGCGGTGAGCTACCTGAGTTCCCCTTTGCGTAGCAAGTATTAGGGGGCGAGCGGTGCAAGTGCAAGAGTTTGGGCCGGTTATGTCTCGGTCCGCCTTTCAAGGGGGGGGCTTCGATTCCCCCCAGGTCCGCCTCTAAAGCCGGGTTTGCAACATAGGCGGACTACAAGGAAACGCCAACAGCCGCACATGCACTTTCATCCACCACGTTTACATACATCCCCACCCCAACCGAAGTCAAGACCCGCACTGAAACTCGACAATGTCAGATTGCTCAAGAACTTTGTTTCGTTCACCCTAACAACCGCGATGAACAATGTCGTAGCAAGAACGTTGCGACGGACTGCGTTGCAGTAGTCTCAAAAATCGTACATGATATACCAGTAGTACCGCACAAGGCGGTGGCGGAAGTTTCAAAAATAGGAAACCTATAGGAGAGATTGGTTGTTGTGAATCAGAGATGGCAGAGCGAAGCCACTGCTGGACTGAAAGGCGATTGATCTCTCTCACTCTTGTCTACCTGTCTATCTATCTATCATATCTATCTATCTATCTATCTATCTACCTATCTATCTATCTATCCATCTATCCATCTATCCATCTATCCATCTATCCATCTATCCATCTATCCATCTATCCAACTATCCATCTATCCATCTATCCATCTATCCATCTATCCATCTATCCATCTATCCATCTATCCATCTATCCATCTATCCATCTATCCATCTATCCATCTATCCATCTATCCATCTATTCATCTATCCATCTATCCATCTATCCATCTATCCATCTATCCATCTATCCATCTATCCATCTATCCATCTATCCATCTATCCATCTATTTCTCCCTCTATCTATCTATCTATCGATCTATCGATCTATCGATCTATCGATCTATCGATCTATCGATCTATCGATCTATCGATCTATCCCTCTATCTATCTATCTATCTATCTATCTTATCTATCCTATCTATCCTATCTATCCTATCTATCCTATCTATCCTATCTATCCTATCTATCCTATCTATCCTATCTATCCTATCTATCCTATCTATCCTATCTATCCTGTCATATCCTATCTATCCTATCTATCCTATCTATCCTATCATATCCTATCTATCCTATCTATCGTATCTATCCTATCTATCCTATCTATCCTATCTATCCTATCTATCCTATCTATCCTGTCATATCCTATCTATCCTATCTATCCTATCTATCCTATCATATCCTATCTATCCTATCTATCGTATCTATCCTATCTATCCTATCTATCGTATCTATCCTATCTATCCTATCTATCCTATCTATCCTATCTATCCTATCTATCATATCTATCATATCTATCATATCTATCATATCTATCATATCTATCTTATCTATCTTATCTATCTTATCTATCTATCTATCTATCTATCTATCTATCTATCTATCTATCTATCTATCTATCTATCTATCTATCTATCTATCTATCTATCTATCTATCTATCTATCTATCTATCTATCTATCTTCTATCTATCTATCTATCTAGCTAGCTAGCTAGCTAGCTATCTATCTATCTATCTATCTATCTATCTATCTATCTATCTATCTATCTATCTATCTATCTATCTATCTATCTATCTATCTATCTATCTATCTAATCTATCTATCTATCTATCTATCTAATCTATCTATCTGTCTAGCTGTCTACCTGTCTATCTTTTGTGCAGTGTCATTCAGTGTAATGTGGTGTGGTGTAATGCAGTGTAATGTAGTGGAGTGTAGTTGTAGTTGTAGGTGGTAGTGGAGTGTAGTGTAGAGTAGTGTCGTGAAGTGTAGCGGCAGGTAGTGTAGTGTAATGTAGTGTAGTGTAGTGGAGTCTAGTGTAGTGTAATGTAGTGTAGTGTAAGGTAGTGTAGTGTAAGGTAGTGTAGTGTAGTGGAGTGTAGTTGTGTAGTTTTAGTTGTAGTGTTGTGGAGTGTAGTGTAGTGTAAGGTAGTGTAGTGTAGTTTAATGTTGTGTAGTGGAGTGTAGTTGGGTAGGTGTAGTTGTATTTGTAGTGTAGTGGAGTGTAGTGTAGTGTAATGTAGTGAAGTGTAGTGTAGAGAGTGTAGTGCAGTGTAATTTAGTGTAGTGGACTGTAGTTGTGTAGTTGTAGTTGTAACCTGTCGTGTTGTGAAGTGTAGTGTAATGTAATGTAGTGTAATGTAGTGTAGTGCAGCAAAGTGTAGTGTCATGTAGTGTAGTCGAGTTAAGCGAAGCAACATCTGAACCGCCAAAAGTGGTCCGAAACCCTAGTGTTTTTAACATGTTAACTTCCAAATCTGCTTCGCGCCATGACGGCGTGCACTTTTTCGAAACTCGACATCTCAGCCTCCAAAAGTGGTCCGAATATGGTGTGGTTTGTACATTTTGACTTGGAAATGTGCTTCGCGCCACAGCGGCGTGCACTTTTTCGAAACTCGACCTCTGAGCCTCCAAAAGTGGTTCGAACCCCTGGTGTTTTGCACATTTTGACTTCGAAATGTGCTTCGTGCCACAACGGCGTGCACTTTTTCGAAACTCGACCTCTGAGCCTCCAAAAGTGGTCCGAACCCCTAGTGTTTTTAACATTTTGACTTGGAAATGTGCTTCGCGCCACAACGGCGTGCACTTTTTCGACATTTTAAGTGCCAAAAGTGGTCCGCACTTGGTGTGTTTTCTACATTTTGACTTGGACATGTGCTTTGCGCCATAACGGTATGTACTTTTTCGACATCGCAACTTCCAAAAGTGGTCAGACCCTGGTGTGTTTTGTACATTTTGACTTGGGGACGTACTTCGCGCCACAACGACGTGCACTTTTTCGACATCTGAAGCGCCAAAAGTGGTCCGATCCTCTGGTATTTTGTGCATTTTGACTTGGAAATGTGCTTCGCGCCAGAACGGCGTGCAATTTTTCATGTCTCATCTCCCCATATGTTTCCGCACCCGCCGCTTTAGCGAGCCTACTTTTCGACCCTCCGGAACCACAAATCATTGGAAAAAACACAGTGAATCGCGACTTTCCTACCTTTTCGCGCATCTGCATCTTCTTTCTTCTGACTCTTTCTCTTCTGAACTTTCTCTTCTCTCTGCCTCTGCCCTGCTCTGCTTTTCATCTGTCCATATTGTCGGAAGTTTAGCTTCTCAACTTCCTTCGACAATATAGTTAAAGATATGTATCTATATATGGTGATCGATCTAAAGGTCCTTGTAAGGAGTTTTAATTGCGAAAGCCGTGCATGTTATGTTGGAAACCCTCGCGAAAGTTTTTTTTTCGAGTTCGCGAAAGTAAAATTTTATTTCGCGAAAGTTTCGCGAAAGTTAGGTATTATTATCATTATATGTAAAGGGCTGCCACCCGCTGCCGCCCGGGGTCCAGCAGGAGAAGGGCACCAGAGAATGCGAGTAGCAGTAGCCAAGTTTCCAAAAGTGAGGCTTTGCGAGAGCCAAACACCAAGGCTCCTGGTCTTTGCTTTTCCTTCAGTGCACCCCCTGCTGATGGCCGGGGTCTGTGAATAGGGATATTTTCGCGAAAGTTATGCGAAAGAGCGGGCGAAAGTCAAAGTGCATGTTGAAGGGGGTGGGCCAGTAAACTTTGCAAAAAAAACTGTCCTGAGAAGGGATTCCGTGATGCTAGCTGCATGTTTAAAAGGCTACCAAGAAGTGATCCGTGATTCTCTGGCGTAATTTGGCAGGTGGTGAACGAATCTTCATAAGAGGTGTTGTTGGCCAACATGGGCCCCGCGAAAGATAAACATGGAGTTCGCGAAAGTTTCGCGAAAGTAAAATTTTTATTCGCGAAGAATGGCCGTTCCGGGATAAAGGAATTTTGATCAACAACCATATATATATACACATAATAATTCCATGATATATATATATACTAAATAATCTCAATATACATATAGATTCGTATATATATATATGCATACTCTACCCAGCAATTGTGGGATATTGCGCTTTGGCTAGTGGTTGCCGAAGCATAATCGCTGCCCCTTGCTCAGCATATCTAGATCATTTGGTGGATTTTCCGCAAGGGTTCCTCCAAGATATTCTCTTCAACCAAAAGACTTCGCTAATGACATTTCAATATGTTTCATATATATGTATATTCGTATATATATAGTTATCATGTATAATAACTAGAACACCTATAATGACTAGAATTACTATAATAACTAGAACATAATTATCACAACTATATTGAACCCCCCCCTTCGATTCTCCCCAGGTCCGCCTCTAAAGCCGCGTTTGCAAGAAGTCACCCCGCGGGCCCACTTTTTGCACCAAGATTCCAGCACCAGGATAGCCCTAAGTCAGTTGCTTTGGGTACATGCTGGGGTCAAAACACCACGTTTGTGAATCCCACACTGTTCTACACATGTACACACCAGAATCAACCCCATCCGCGTTGCAACAATGTGCTGCCCCCAGTTACACGTTGCCTCGCAAACCCCATAACCTGATATTTATACATATATCTAACTATATGTATGTATTTATATATATATATATGTCTGTGTGTCTGTGTGTGTGTCGTGTCCCCCCTCCCTGAAACCTACCTTTTTGGTACCCGCCCTCGAGTCCAAGCCCAGAAGACTTTTTTCGATATCCGCCCCAACTCCACCCACGTCCGTCCGCAGCGGATATGCCTCGTTCCCTTGCTCTCTTCTCCTGTTCCAACCCACGCCTACCTTTCGATCTTTCACCCTTCCCTCTCAAGTGCTGCATAGGATTTTCCCATGCTGGTGTTTGTTCACCGGACAGCACACCCAGTTTCACTATGCCTATCATCACCAGGGATGTGGAATGGCCAATCGAGCATTATTGCCATCAAAGAAAACTAGGTGGGTCTCTGAACAACAGAGTTTAGACAAATCCAGTTTCCCCTTCAAACTCTCAAGTTCCCTGAGAAAATGTCACAAAATCCCCTGAATGCCTGGAGAAATCCAGGTGGTTTGGAGCACTTTCTGGCCGCAGGAAGAGATCTTGGAATACGACCTCCTGGTCGGCTCTGATGGTGTTCGCTCCAGGGTCCGTGAAGCCATGAACAGCCAACTACCTCCAGGCAAGGCATGGCAGGGCCAGCTGGAACGACAGTTGACGACTCTCTATGGATTGAAGGGAACGCAATTACAGGAAATCATGGTCTTTACAACCCATAAAAACCTATTCTGGAAGAAACATGTCATCGCCAATGTTCAATTGCTTAATACAGCTGTCGGTGTGCCCTGCTGGTTTGATGTTTGAAATCCTCCAGCTCGAACATCTGCGTTTCAATGCTAAGGAGGGTTTCCTTGAGACTTCTTCTTAATTTGTACTTTTGTGAGCTTTCGAGTCAGCTGGGGTTGAACCCGCTTGGATTTTCTGACGACGTTTGATGATGTTTGACAGATCCCAAATCGGACTGGGTTCATGTCACCAAGGTCGCTTCGAATCGGAGCTTCGCGTAATGCCTGGCAGGCCCAGCTTCAGCTTGGGGCGTGAAGCTACAGTCCTAGAATGGGATGAGGATCTTTTTCAGGAACCCTAGTATACCCTAGTGAAAACATGTAGAAACTATGGTTTCCCTGCAGGTTTTTCCTGAAACGTATTGATAGAACTCTTGTTCATTTCTGGTGTTGAGCAGTGAGTCCAGGTGGATGGTGCTACGATTGGATCTGCCAGAAGGCTACAGCAAAAGCGGGGTTCACGTCACGTCAGCTGCACTTGGACGGGCTGGGCGGCTGGGTGCTGCTGGATTTTTGCCACAGAACTTGGATGGGGCCCTGAGAATCCTTAAAAGATTTACCAACATATCGCCAACATCAATGCTACATCAATGCTGCATCATCAATCATCATCAATCATCATCTGGTTGGTGGTTTCAAACATTTTTTATTTTCCATTTCATATATGGGATGTCATCCTTCCCATTGACTTTCATATTTTTCAAGATGGTTAAAACCACCAACCAGTCATGGTTTTTCTTCGCCATTTCACCATCCCAGGCGATGGTGGCCTCGGCCGCGCCGTTTGGACTCTTTTGCATCCCCGACAAAGCGGGGCCGTGGCCCGGTGCAATGCCGGTCCATGCCGTTACACAGTGAGATGCCACGGGACTAGGTACATAGTGAAACACATAGATCACATAGCTATGGAAAAACATGGAACATCATCCATAAATACTCTACAAATGGAGGTGTTTTTGTCGCTGAACATCACGGAAAACCTCAGAGTTTCTATGGAGGTTTCTTTTTTTAACTGACAAAAAAGGACCATCATGGGAAGATCCTCGATCAATGGAGGTTCAAAAAGGTGGGAAAAAACATGGAAAAAATCTATGTGAAATCACCAGATGGTAATTACATGAAGAAATGCCCATTCCATCCCGGACCTATGGACACGCGTTTGCAATATATACTACACATACATACACATACTATATAATACTATCACTATCATATACTCTACATCCCAGAGATGGAATTCAATTACTTTTCACATAAATAAGATCATGCGCCCCCATCTTTTGACCTGAAGAAATGCTGAGATATACTTTCGGTCCCTCAAATGTTGAAAACACCGCCCATATTCTCGAAGCTCATAAACACACAGATATAGATATGCACACCCATATATTTATATATGAACGCACATGCACACACACACACACACACCCTTTTTCTACATATAAAAGCATAGTTTACACGGTTGTATTGTACATCATGTTCAAAATAAAGGCACTGAAATGAAATGCCCACATCGCTATGTACATTTGTCCGAAGAAGATCATAGCTTGGCAATTAAATATATGACACGAAATAGATGAGATGAGATTATGTATATAGACGGATCTAGATCCATTGCGTATTTTTTTGGTGTGAGTGTGTATATATTTTTATACACAATATGTATTGAATTTGTAGATCTTGAGCCCACACTTAAATTTCTATATCAGTCATGACTCATGACTAATTTCTGCATGAACGCCCCCCCACCTGCATATGGCATAATTGTATGCTGGAAGAAATATAACCCTGCTGGAATGTATTAAACTTATATAATATATCGGGATTCCCTATTATTGGTGGTAATTATTTGATTTTGGGAGATGGGATTACATACTATCCGAGTTTCCCGTAGGCCATGATGTTATGACATACAAGATACATGATCTATAGAGCCTCTCTGGAGTTTTCCTGCAGTGGGGAACTCCAAAATCATCCAGAATTGGATCATTTTAGTGTGGAATGAAGCCCATGGTTTTTGATGTTTCGGGGTCCCCAACATTTCAAGAAAACATCAGAGTCTCCCTTTTTCTTTTAACATCACTGGATCATCTGCCATCCCCCGAACTACTAAAGTCCCTGAGAATTTGCCAAACTTTGGAGGAAGGTAGTCTTGCAACTCCGTATTCGACGGGTTCATGTTATTTGGAGGATAGTCTTTCAAATAAATTACCATCATGGCAAGTAGTAATCAGTTTCCAGCATTGATAAAATTATTCAGTATCCATTGGTGTTCTTATTATGATGGAAAGTGCTATCCCGCCAACTGTCTCAGGTCCCATGAATCACTAAGAAACAAATTAGCCCAGCTTTGCAACCCAACTGCAGGTTCCAAGGTTCCAGGGTTCCAGCGTTGCGGTTCCGTTCTGGATTTTTTGGGTTTGGAAAAATACACTTTACCACCAACCATCACCGCTGTTCCAATCACTTTTCAACTGGTTAAACTATGTTAAATCCCCATTTCGGAGGGTTACATCCCCAATCCTACATCGTTGATCGTTAGATTCCATGATCCTACTATAATTCCAATTCCATCCCATGAAGGCAATTTTTTGATCGTTAAACATGGTGACATCCCCATGAAAAAAAGATTTGTCCGGTTCTTTGACGGCCACATCGTCATATTTATTGGTCAAATCACCATTTTTTTCGTCCGGTAGAGTCGCCGAATTTTTGATCGGTAAAATCATTTTTAAAAATTCCCCACATAATTCTTGAGGCTAAACTCAGCATCTGTTGGTATTAACCATATATTAACCATATATTGTGAACAACCCCCCTGGCATCCCCTGACGGTTCCGCCCTGATTTTTGTTTCCCAGGCACTGCGTCATAGCCTCCTGGAGCTCGGATGAGCCGCCCAAAGAGCTGCTGGAAGCCAAAAATGCCCAGCAGCTCGAGGCGGTGCCTGGGCTTGGGGGGTTAGGGAGGGGGTTGGGGATGGGGTTGGGGGGTTTAGGGGAAGGAAAAAATGCTGGAAAGTGGATGAAAGTGGATGAATAAGAGAAACATATATTGAAAAAGCACATCTGAGATAATTTGAAGAGGATTTACTCAACTCGACTGAGATGGGTTGCAGCCAACTTGGAGGACTCTTAGACGACGTGCTGGATGTGCTGGACATGGCCATGTGGTGCTTTTTATCTATCTTGCTGATAAAAGAATATGTCAAGTGCGATGTGGGAGCTGGATTCCACTGAGGTTTTGCTGCGTTATTTTCCACAGTTGGCCACTGGGAAAAACTGGATGCTGAAGATGGGTGATATCCCATGAAAACTGGTGAAGTAACTGGTGTGAGCCCATCGGGGAGGGAAAAAAAACACACATTTTTTGATGAGTACCCGTACCTTTCCATGTTTTAGCCAGTTTTGAAATGAAAATCTTAGATGCGTTAGATGCGTGGATTGGTTGCATCCCCATGTGTATTGTTGAGGGATGCTTAGACAAAATATGACAAAACATGCGCTGTATTATGACCATAAAGGTTGGTCCATGATGTTCAGGTGTGATATGGGCAACTCAGAGTCCCCTCAGATGTGGACCAATCCAGAGGGGCTCCATCGTTGGGTTACAGTTGTCCAGGTTATGGGTGGGCAAAACGCCAGTGTTGCTAGGAATTCCCTACAACACTCGGTCATCCGTATACTGCATCCGATTCTCCCCTAATTATCCTTGTTGGTGAATCTCTTCAATTCTCTTCTTCATCAGTTTATACTCATACACCCCCTATATTATAATGCAATGTGTTTGATTGTGTTTGATTGTGTTTGTTGTTGAGTATCTATGAACATCTCCATTTTTTGGCACATCTTCGGTCATGTTTTCCCACCCCCCGGTGGTTTTCCGTGGTTTTCCAACCGCCACCTCCCTCCCAGCGGAACACCCATGCTGAGGGCCGCATCCCTCGAGAGGCGGCAGAGGAGTTCTTAAGCAGCCAGCCTTCGAAGGCGGTGGTCAGTCGCTGTCGACCTCTCCATGCGGCAGATCATGCAATTTGTGCCTCCAATTTTCGGTGTATGGGGGATTGAAGAGGATGAGGAGGAGGAGGAGAGGGAGGAGGAGGAGGAAGAGGAGGAGGAGGAGGATGATGATGATGATGTGGATGTGGATGTGGGAGTGTGGCCCTCCAAAACGCAGAGCAGAAAAGGCCGAAGGATGAATCGTTCTTGGTACATCTTGGTACCACATGTAGCCACAACTCCGTGCAACAACAGCCATCGGCCACGCTGAGGTGTCTTGGGTGATGCTGCCCATGCCGTTGGCGGCGGCTCTCTGGGTCAGGGCTGCAGGGGAGCCCAGAAGAAAAGCAGCCCTGCGGGCCAACTGCCACCGATGGCATGGTGATGGTGAAACTATGACCCCAATAGCCATCACTGTCCAGCAAAGGAGGGAAAAAACACGGAACGACTTAATTAAGATGTAATGTAATCATACGTAAACTGTAATTAAATCACTGATGAGCACCGTAAATTTCTGGCAGGTACAGCATGGACCCAGGTCTTGTCGTGGGATGGAGTCTTTTCTTCCATCGCCCTGCAGAGGCAGCGCAGCATTGCAAGATGC